TCACCGGCTTCAAGGAGGAGCACAGAATGGCCAGCCTGGCCAGGTGACAGCTAAGGGCCCGCCGCCTGGGCCACTGCCGATGACGATATAGTCATATTGGGCTTGGGAACGGGCAGGTTGGACAAGCAGGGAGGCGAGTAGAATGTGATAAAACAGTACCAGTGCCCTGGTGTGAATGAAAGCCATGGCTGTGATGAGTTGCGAGAGTCATGTAACAACTGTACTGTCCGATCAACAGCGATGTCAAGCTTTTACCCGTCGTCCTTTATATGTTCAATGTCGGATCGCCAAGAGACAGCCAAATTCGCTCCTTTACACAATGACGCAAAAGCCATTTCGCTGTATATTCATCTTCGTTCACTCTCCTACGGGCGAAGTGAATATCATATTCCAAATGAAATGGTGCTGCCAGGTTGAGGGCGTCTTGGCAACAGGAAGGTAGGATTGCAGACCACTCGGAACTTGCTATATGGAAAGACAGGCCGAAGTGACGTGCACAGTTGGTCTGACAGGTGGAGTCAGCCAGAGGACGTAGGGCGGTCTGCAGTACTTGCCGATCGACGGCTCTCCTCTGTCTACTATCAAGTATGCGCTCAAATGGGTCAAGCGTCCACAGGGTGGTTGCACCATGATTTACGTTGTGGTCCTAGCCACGGCGCCATGGTGGCCATTGGCGTTGCGAGTGTGACAATGAGATTGATGGACGATCAAGACAGAAACTGGCAGCAATCTCTAGCGGAAGAACACAGAGAGGATGAACTTCTCATCTGGGAAAGTGATGGCCTGCGGACGAGAAAGAGTGCTACGACACGTGGTTGGCCATGTTGCATTGGTGGCAGGCTCAGAATAGCCGGCATTACTGGAAAATCCGAAGAGTATTTGCCCCGCACTTTCAGATGACCGCCATCGGCACTTGTTTGGTTTGCCAAAGACGGCGATGTCCCTAGATTGGCTCTTGGGAATGATGCTTCCGAGATGGGTCGGGCTCGACAGATGAGGAAGGTGGATGATCCTGCATGGAAATCGGAGGCAATCCGTGTGTACATTGATGAGGCATTGAAATCGACCATCGACCATCGACCATCGACCAATAATGTCGATCGCGAGCTCAGGATTTCGTGCTGCAAGTTACTGAAGGAACACTGAGGAGGAGGAGGGAAGGGGGTGTTTCAGAATGGAAGGCTCACAGGCATGTAGTTGATGGCGGGGTTGAGGTTGCAGATCGGAGGATGTCGCCTTAGTCAGCTTACCTCTGCCAAAAATGTTGACCCAGCAACGCGTCGCATCTAAACACGGAATCTCTCGCGAATCAGTGCGATCGTCAACAGCAATCAACAGCAGCATCGTGTCGCAATTCTCCCACAGGCGGCAGCATTCAATACACCACACCGAGAGGATCTCCCGTAGCATCAAAGAACTGAACCCGATACAAAAAAACAGCAACACCATGGCCTCTGCATTCGAGCCCTCCATGTCGTCCAGCCTTTCGAGGCCGCCGCCCATGGCCACAGGCCCCTCCATCGCCGACACGCTGCCCAACATCAACTTTGGCTTTGACGACCTGCGCGATCGCATGGCCAAGTTCACTGTCAAGTTCGACGCCTTTATAGAGCAAGGCCGCAAGCGTGTGCTCGAGGAGAGAAACCAATTTCACATGAACATTGCTGAGCTACAGGGTTCGTCTGGCGATAGACCCTGTCCTTCGCCCGCCTTGTGCACCCAGCTAACAGAGATGCCACAGAGGACCAGCGCATGAAGAAGAAGGACATTGAAATCCTCCAGCTTAAGACGAGCACACACCAGCAGACGGTCGAGAAGGAAGACGCCGAAAAGCGCGAGATGCAGGCGGCCATCGCGCAGCTCGCCGACGAGCGCGACCGCCACACTGCGCACCGCAACGCGCTGAAGAAGCAGATCGCGGCGACGCAAAAGGAGATTGACGCGCGCATGGCGGCGCAGCAGGCATATGCGCAACAGCTCGAGGCGCAGTCGCGGTTCAACGTGCCGGAGCTCGAGTTTTGGCAGCAGAACCTGGGGTTGCGCATCGAGGGGGCGGGTCACGACGACCGCCTCAAGTTTGTGTACACATGCATCGACGAGAAGGACTGGGACCGCGAGGCGTGGTTCGAGCTGAGCACGGCGAGCCGGGATTACGATGTCAAGCACTGCCGACCCAAGCTGGAGAGGGAAAGGGTCGAGCGTGTGCTCGACAGAGTCAATGAGACGCGGGAGCTGGCGG